ACAGCCAGCTTCTTTGGCAATGAATGTTTGTGGCTTACCCTCCTTGTGAAGGGTGTCAATGATTGACTTCTGGACAACTGTCAGACCAGCCGTCTTCCCCATGATTGTGTAGCCCAGTGAATCAAACTGAGTGACCATTTTGAAGGCTCAGGACACCTTTGCAGGTGTTTTGAGTTGACTAGCTGAGTGGCATGTCACCATATTCTAATTTATTGAGATAGTGAATTGGTGGGTTTTTGTTAAATGTGAGCAAAATCATCACAATTAAAAGACCCAACAGCTTAAACTACTTCAGTCTGTGTGTACTGAATTTATATAAGATACGAGTTTCACTATTTGAGTTGAATTATTGAAATAAATGGACTTTCCCACGATATTCCAATTTATTGAGCTGCACCTGTATAAGGAGGCAGCTGCCTATAAGAGCAGACTGGTATTGATTTAGGAGGATTTGGGTCTTGTCCTGGGGTACATTTTCATTATTGTGTTGATGATACAGTATATGTACATGCCAGGTTAACTCAGTAAATCCAGCAGTATCTTAAAATTTAAGGCTTTCCTGTCTGAAATTTAAAAAGCAAGCTACTAAATTTAATGTTAAACACACACAAAACTGAAATTGCTGGACTTGAGAGCTTTGCAGTTTCCCAGTGCAATCAGCTCTAGTCCTATACCTATGCTAGTCACCTGCATGGTGCAGTAAATCTGATAGAGATTTTGGCCTGTGCATTAATCTCTCTCCCAAACACACTAAAGCTGATTTTAAAGTACCCACGCTGACCTAAAGCACTACATGTACATAACTGTACCTTAATGGCCTTGAGGGAGCCGCTGAACAACATGTTGTGGGAGGACACCAGTGTACACACAGGGTTGTCATGGGCACGGATCGTATTGACCTTCTGCAGGGTCTGAATGTCCCACACCTATGCCAGACACACAACGGCAAAACAACAAAAACAATTAATTTGTGCATGTTCTCTCTTAAAAAGAGGAAACGGCAAACTGAAGGTTACTTACAATGATGGTGCAGTCTGCAGAGCCACTGTATAGTCTGTTTCTATGGAGACAAAAAACATATTGAGTCATGCTATGGGAAAAAGCTGCTCAACCATAGGTGACAGGAATCATGATCACAGCATGCATGTATATGTGCACATATGCATTTAGTTACCCCTGGATACACAGAGCCAGTACGATGCCATCATGACCCTCGAGGGTTTTCTGACACTTGTAGGTGGTGCAGGTGTCCCATACCTGATAAGGAGGAGATTCTGCTAAAAACTTTTTATAAAATTATACCTCAATTGGGAGAATTTACAGTAACAGTATTAGCTTCTCTGCAGATAAAAAAATACACATATACACAACTGTGTGTTGCACTGATGTGGACATGTTACTGCAGGTACTGGGTAGAAGTTTAAGTACAATTCATGAAGTCCTCTTTGTGTTTGAAGGCCATGCAAAACGTGGGTGTCATCAAATAAAGTATTTTTTTATGTCGTGCTAATGGCATTTTTCATTTTCTTTGACTGTGCACATTGATGTTACCTTAATAGTCTTATCAGAGGACCCAGAGAAGAGCAGGTCTCCAGTGGAGTAGACACACAGACACCAGACGGGACCCTGGTGGCCAACAAATGTCCCCTTACATTTGAAGATCTGCTGGGGGTCATACGCTACACATAGGTACAGAGACAAGTAAGACTGGATATCTGTTTTTCAGTGGGAACTAAAAAAGAAATTATGATAAAATAGACAGAGAGGTAGGTGAGGAAGGGAGAAGAGGAAGACAGAAGGAACAGACAGAGAAGGCATTCAGAGCCACCAAATGTTTTAAACCACAAAAACTTACAGCCCAGGATTCCCATGTTGAGTCTGGCATTGATATGGGACAACTCATCCTGCAAAGACACAGAAAATGATCTTTAAGTATTTTACAACCTGACTAATTTAACAGTCAAACACTGTTCACTCACACAAACCTGCAAACTTGTATTCTGGCTTCCTAACTGTAGCTTATTCTTGTGCATGCATTTGTCTCTGTCGCTCTGAAAGATGCACACACACTTACGTTAAGCATGGAGGCATCTCTACGAAATTCCATCAGGTCCTCGCTCAATTTACTCTGGTTCTCATCCAACACATCTGAAATAAACACACAAGCACAAAAACTTTGAGAAAAAGAGAAAGAAAGTTGGCCTATTAAGCCACTTTTCCATCGCTTGGTAATGCAAGAGTCGTCTCGACTCGCTTTTGGTAACAGGTGCCTTGTTTTCCACTGCAGATGGTCCCCTCTCAGTGTCGCTGGTTGTCATAGCAACACCGCATTACTCTGCCGTGACATCGTCAGCAACCAACAGAGTATCAATGGGGAACATCGAAGGCATGCTATTCTTGATTCTTGGTATGTGGCTTTTTTAAGTTATTACAGTAACAGTACCAGTTAGCATTAAATAATTTTGCTTTCTTTTCAGGGCCTCTCGCATGTTGATGATGCAATTTCTCTGGCCAATGTCACTGTTTGGTATTGCCTCTGCTTGCATGAAAACTCAATGGAAGTGATACCAGTCAAGTCGAGTCGAGCCGAGTCGAGCCAGTGGAAAAGGGGCTTTAGAGTCATAAAAACCTCCTACAGTCAATATTTGCCCATCAGCAGCCATGGTCTTAAACTCTTGCAGAAGTTAGACATGATCTGTTGAAAACAAATAGTGAAGGACCAACTCAGCCTCTTCTACTACAATGCCCAATTTCAGCGTATCAGCCAATACAGAGTACCAAGCCAACACTTACTGGGTGAGCTAACATGAGGCTCCAGCAACAAAAGACATCTTAACTATGAACAGAGGTATTCATACAACTGCATGCTTTTTAGGTTTGTGAGAATTTGATCTGCATTGTTTAGAAGTTGCAACATTGCAATGCTTCTCCCATTTGAGGACAGACACACAATCGTATTCATACTACACATAAGCTCTATCTTTAGGTCTTCCAAACACACAAATCAAGCTTTTAAATCAGAGCTGTTGCCACACTTAAAATTCTGTTCGTCTACAAAGAAAAGCTTTCCTTGGCTTAAAAGAGTGCCAACAATTTAGCACTGCACTCTTATGACACTGTCACTGTGGACAGTTTAATAAAAAGTATCTTCTTTTATTCCATGCATTTTTTCTTCCTTGTGAAAACCTAAAACCTATGTTACCCATAATGCAACTTTACTGCCAAAAGTTCTATCAGACATTCAAGTATTTTATGCTAGAAGCAGCTAATGTAGCCAAGAGCCTCTAGCAAAATAGGAGCAGGTTACAGAGGTCAGGTAAACTCATAATTATCATCCTAGTCTGAGTGTGTAAACGCCCGTAAATGCTATAAATAAGAATGTACTCATAGCCCCAGAGTGTATGGTTGAATAAGCAGGTAAAACTGAGGAACTTGTCTCTCTACTAACTCTCACCAAATTTGAGCTCCAGGTTCTTCTCTAGCTGATCCAACTTCTCTGACAGTTTGCCCAACATGGAGCGCAGGAAAGCAATATCTTGGTCCTTCTGGGCCAGAGTCAACTGCATCTCATGAAACCTACCAGTGGTCAAGGGTCACAAACAGAGAGATCAGTGACAATAATTGCTTAATTTCATTGAAGAGCTGGAGAACTGTTGTGATGGATAAAGGATAGAGTCAAAAAAATATTTGGCTACTTTATTCTTCAGAGGATAATTTATATAATGTCTTAAAGTGGTATTACAATCAGTAGCTTCAGGTATTCTCACCTGTCATCAGTCTGTTGCAGAAACTCCTTCAGCCCCTCAAATTTACACACCTCCAGGTGTGTCTCATATGTGTCCTGGTTGCCAATGAATGTACAGCTGTCAGGGAAGGAGAGGAGAAGCACTTTAGTGGAAAGTAGATGAGTGCGTTATACAAGAGTACAAGAAACCTACTTTATAACCAGCACAAATGGAAAAAGTGTTAAACACACACAAAAAACTAATCTTATATACAGTACAAAACTAGAATCACCACTTTGCACTTCTATGCCTCTGGCAACCAGTCAAATTCACAGCAATGCGGAGATGTGAGATCAACGACCCTGACTTTTGACCTTCAACCACCAAACAACCTTGAGTCCAAGTGGACATTAGTGCCAAATTTTAAGAAATTCTCTCAAGGTATTCCTGATATATTGCGTTCAGAAGAATCATTCAGAGGGACGTACAGACAGACAACCCGAAAACATGTCTCTCACCTTGTGGAGGCAAAAAATGAAGAAAGGTGCAGTCAATAATTTAATAACAAGTGTGTTTTTAGGACTCACCCATATTTGGAGTGTGGACATTTGATGTGCTCACATTCTTTGAGATGAGCCTCCAGGTTCATAGTGAGCAGTGGGGGACAAGAGGGATTGTTGGGACACCGGACTGGTCTGTAGTCACAAGTGGCCTCGTGTTCTCTGCATAAATACAGAGCATTGGGATGATTAAAGGAAAGAATAGTCTGTAACAGCTTTCAAATGCGTTGCTTCTTGATAATGTGTCATATTACATTTGTTAACAATCGCTGAAAAGCAAACATCCAATCAAATGTTTAGTCCTTACTTGCGTGTGGACAGTTTGATAGTGAACGGACAGCCGAGTGGGTCCACCTCATACGCTCCAGGTTTCCCAGCTACTGTGGCATTGGAGGCTGCAGCTCCACCTGCACCACTGACTGTGGCCCTGCAGCCATATTTACAGTGGATGAAAAGCTCTCCGATCTGCTCAGCTACAGCGATGTTGTTCACCACAACCGTTAGCTTAGCCGCATCCACTGGGCACTTGTCTGTGAGGAGTACAAACATGAAAATAAGGCTATAAGACTTTAAATTCTAGTCCTGGTGGTGGCACATTTAGAAGAAATATAGCCATTATTAAAGTTATTGGTGCACTTGTGACTGAAAGGACAAATATCCACCATGATGTAGGTGGGACTGGGTGTCATTCCAAAATTTTTGATACCAGCACCGATACCTTGACCTTAATACCGGAACCTAAACTATGCTTTTTTTTAATATGACATTTACACACTCAAAGCAGTTTTGTAATATATAAAATAAACTTAATATAAATTTGCCACAACCTTAAGTTCAGTTAATATTAACATCATTAAATAAAAATAGAGACATTTTACAATACCAGATGGTATTGAAGTTATTTGAGTGATGCCATAAAACTATCCAAGTTCAATACCCAGCACTAGATGTAGTTCTGTTACTCTCACCAATTCACTTAAATCTCACCTGAAGTCAAGGCACATCGTCTGCAGAAAGTGTGCTGAGGAAAGAGGAAAAAAAAACAGGTGTGGTGAAGTTTTAGTCCACTTCCAACATTTTTCTTTTTATCATACTGAGAAACTGACCATTGGCCCCCCACCCTCCCACCCCCTGTTACTAATGCTATGTCAGTCAAGCTTGGTATTCTTATCCAACACATATGTAGTTTATAATGATAACAGCAGCAGATTTATCACTCATAAGTCACAACAATATTCAAAAATAATGAGTACTTGAGAATAGAGGCAGACAAAAGTAGCTCATTTCTAGCCAGCAACTGTTCAGTTTGTTTATAGAAATGGCAACTTACCAGATTTTATAGAGGTAGCTAGCCAGCAAGCTAACTGAGCTAACATTAGTGTCAAGATCTTGCTGAAACTTTTCTTTCTGGGGGAGATTTTCATGTTTCAAGCAGACTCATTTTTGAATTGACAGCCCTGAGAGTTCTTAAATATGTACTTGAAGGTCAAATACATGATATGGTGTTGAAAGACTGAGGCTGAACATCCCAGGCAAGAAGCAGACATTCTCAACAGTTTATGATCCAAGTATGTAAAAACAGAAATAAAGAAACAGCACTGCTTCTTGTATTGCAGTTGATATAAGAGAATCCAGAACTGGCTTTCACATGGTGGGCAAATACACAGTGAATGTGCCATCATGATGAGGTTCTTTTAAATGTAACCAAAAAACTCACAAAAGAACTACCGGTAGTAATACTGAGTTTCTACAGGAGGCAGTAAGTTAGTTAGCCAGATCTGCTAACGTTTGTAGCTTCAATTAGATCAGACAAACACAGCATTTAAAACATTACTAACATTTTTGCTCTTATAGAGTAAAGAAAGTTAAGGGGGAAAAGACAACACCCTGCAAACTCATCAAAATTAGAGCATCTCTGTTTCTACAGTCCGATGCATATCATTCAGGCATGTAAAGAAACCCAAAGCACGACAGTACCGTGCCTAGTTACGGTTGCTAAGCTATGAGTCCGTTTGGGAGAAGGGTCATAAGCAGGTTTGCTGAAGAAAACCCTGTGCATGTATGCAACTGTGATGAAAATCTCAAAAAACAAACCTCAACCTTTTTACAGATGGTGGGCAGAAGGAGGATAGAGTGTAAAGGACAAAAATAAACTTACCCCACATGTGGTGATGACAGGGTCTTTGAAGACGTTACAGCAAAGCTGACAGCACAGTTTTACTGACGGCTGCTCAGCAAACACCTGGGGCTCCTACACACAAGCACACACAGTTCACTCATTTTGTGGTGAGGCTTCAGTTCCAAAACAATCTTATAACTGTGCTTTTAAATGTTTAAGGGCTTCTTAGCATATATGTTTTTGTTTGCTGCTGTACATGTAGTATACTGTATGTTTGTGTTGGATGTTGTACCGTGTCCTCCTCCTCTTCATGCAGTGAAAAAGTGGAGCGCAGGGACATGTTGGACTCAGAGTGGAGAGATCGGACTGATATGGCTGAATCTGACCTCCGTGGAGTACCAATGGGAGGCTAAGAGAACAGGGGAGAGAAGAGGTAACAGCCTAGTACAGTACATCCAGATGTGTGGGATCTTGTACAGAAGTTGCACAACAGAGATACATTCCAGATGTATTTTTACCCTTAACTCCTCAAATATTATCTGCTTTGGAAAGCAGATAATCTTAGACTTTTAAATTTGATGTGCTCTGGCTAGAAAAATGTATAAATGTTTGTGTATTTACCATTCCATCGTCATCATCACGAGGAGAGTAAGTTAGAGTGCTGGAGGAGGAGGGAGTTCTTCTGTGCTGCTTGTAAGTGCTGGACCCTTCTGCTGATAACATGAGGGCAATTTCAAAAAAAAAAAAAAAAAGACATAATACTGATAAATTAGTAACAAAGTAATTCAGTGATTATCAAGCGAAATCAAAAAACAATCAGAAGCCTTTAGAAATGACAAGATTACTATGTGTGTCACCTTTAGCTCCTGCAGCCACGGCTGAGAAGGTAGGTCCAAACGAGGCCTCCATCCTGCTCTAAAATGAAAAAAGGAGGGGTGAGTGAATGGATGGGTGAAGAAACAGTATGCGGTTAAGCTTAAGATGTACTATTCTTAACAAAAATAAAAATTACAATAGGGATACAGCACAGAACATGAGTATAGTCTGGGTATTTACTTCACTTCTCTCAAAGCCACACTACTGTCTCTCACCCCACTGCTGGAGTCAGCCGGAGGCGTGGAGGGGCCGCTGGGGATGACTGCTGTGCCAGCTGCTGCTGCTCCGGAATATCGGTTGTAGCGATGCGTCTTCCCACTGTTCATAACCCAAAGCACACACACATACACGAGGAAACAGCAGCAGCCAGCTGGACCGCTAGGTCTGGGCAGAAGAAAAAGTGCCCACAAGGAGTGACGAGGTGAAGAAGAAAGCAGTGCATTATACATGTGCTTCAAGCCATGCTGCCAGACTGTGGCAGAAAACATAATAAATACATAATGTCAAGCATAAGATGCTTTTATATTTTAACAGAAACAGAAAAACAGACACAGCATAAAATGTAAATGGCTGAATATACTAAATTGAATCTATCAAATTCAATAATCAGCTCTTGTAAAAGGTCATATTTGGATTCAGCACCTCAAAATGCATACAGATTCAGGTTGTAGGGGTACATGTATTTGTAGGGAACCACTTCAGTACAGAACTTTTGGTGCAGTGCAGATTTGCACCAAATACATTCACTATCAGTACTTAGCAGTATACTTGTTTTGCATGCTGAACATTTTTTCAAATCCACTTTTCCACATGAACATAAGTAGTGGACCAGAATGCAGCATGCTTAGCTTAGCCAAGCCCCTGGCTAGCAAACATGCAAATGAGAAGCCAGAGCTAGAAGACCCACCCTTACTATTAAAGTCTCCTGTTTGGGAACACTTCATCTTCCAAGTAAGATACAACAACAAAAACAAGTGGATAAGATGCCTTATTTGTTCATTGTTAATGGTGCTCCAGTCTGCCACATAATATGTTTGTTCAGTGGTGTCTGGGTATGTTTGTGGTAACACGTTAAAACTTGTCAACTCATTTGAAAAGGCACCACATGAATGTGAATATCACTGCTGCAAGAAAAAACACTGCAGCGGTATTCCTTTTTAAATTCTGCTTTATTAACATATATTTTGTTTCATTTAAAATGTATTTAAAAATATAAACTGTTTACAAAAACTCTGAATAAATGACAAGCAATTTTATGACTTGTACTTTGAACAGAACCGTGACTTCAAAACTGAGGTAGATACCAAGCTGTGACTTTTGTGTAGCATAATACCCTAGTCTAACAAAAATTATCACATTTATTTCAGAAGCAGAAAACTTTTTTATTAAATTGTAGACTAGTGGCTACAGTGCTGCTTAAAGCTACCTAAGATGAGATGCCATGAATTGACAAATATGTGCATTATAGAGCTTGTACAGTATAGTGGAATTACTGTTGATGAATGGATATTCGATCTCAGGCACAATAAGAGAATCAAACCTAATGATTCCACAGAAATCGTTACAGCAATGATACTGTTTAATGGTTAAATATGTTTAAGTGGAATGATTTTGTAGTTTAGTACAGAAAATAAGACTCAAGTAAAGTTAGCAATGGCTGAATACAGAAAGTCCAAAGTCCAGTCAGTCATTCACTCGGTAATTTACCGGGCTAAAAACCTGTCCTAACGTTTTCAGTATGTTGCAGTTTAGCTTGACCCTATTAAAAGTACACAGTAAAAAGCAGAGGAAAGCAAAGAGCCAGAGAGGGAGGGAGCAACAGAGACAAAGGGAAAAGGGGGGAAGTAACAGCCAAAAACCATTGACCTGGACAACTACAGAGTGATGTAAACAGAATGGTATGCGGCTTGTCAGCTCATATGCTTAAGAGGCTGCAGAATCTACCAGTGAAACTCTCCAGCTCGTCTAATCTGCTCCAGCCAATGTTTTCACAAGCCCATAGATTCCCGTAAAGGGGGCGGAACACACCGCACACAACCGATTAAAGTTGAATACTGACAGCTAGCTATTGAAATCAGTTCAAACGCACAAATTGTAACAGTTATACACATGCTATCTACTAACAACGACGACCTATAATGCACTTCCTTTCAAATTAAAAACAATTTGAAACTGCGATAGTTAGGTTAGCATGTTAAAGTGGATTGATAGTTAGCTTTAGTTAGCGAATGTTAACATTATATTTTCTAGCAGCAGTCGCTGCCGCTAACAGTCTTTGGCTAACTCTGCTAACCACTAACGGAGAGTCTACGTTATTCTGTAATCGGTAAGACAACTGTTTTCAAAAATCACTGATTTTAGTTTGTAGACGTACCATTATTTTAGCAACAACGCAGCTCCAACTCAGCATACGAATTCCTAAAGCTTCCTCTCTTCACGTCCGCTTCACATACACACAACTCACTTTCGCAATGTTTTCTGGGACTTGTAGTAAGACGCGTACCACTGTTTCATACATGAGAACGTGCTTCTTCGCTGTCGGACTACACTACCCACAACAGATTTCGTAGAGCTGGCATTGGGCTCAGTGCTGTCAGTAAATTCCGCAAACCAACTGCAAAGGGTGCTGTTCGCAATTGACACGCTCTGTCCGGTGCTGCGTTGTTATTGGTTCTTACCGAGACTGAACGATCATGCGACAGCCACCATCACGTTTTACGGTGACGCACGTGCAAAGTGGTGTGATGAAGAGAGATACTGGCTAAAGTGTGAAGTACTATATCATTCATTTTTTTTCTACCGCTTAGTCCCTGAACGGGGTCACGGGGGGCTGGAGCCAATGCCAGCCGGCAATCGGGCGAAGGCGGGGTACACCCTGGACAGGTCGCCAATCCATCGCAGGGCTAACACAGAGACGAACAACCACACACACGCACGCACACACACCTATGGGCAATTTAGAGACACCAATCAACCTAAGCTGCATGTCTTTGGACTGTGGGAGGAAGCCGGAGAGAACCCACGCAAGCACGGGGAGAACATGCAAACTCTACACAGAACCCAGTACCTTCTCGCTGTGAGGCAATGGGTACTATATCATGCTGCATGATATAGTACTTCACACACATGCAAGCTAGTGTGGGCACTGACATCGCCACTCATTTACAAAATATACCACCAGTTACGTTACCTATGTTGCCATTTTCACTGTAAATGCATTGAAAATATTACTCTCTTAAACTACACAAGGACTAACGTCACTAATATAAATAACTCTGTAACACTGTTATTCACACTTATACTGTAAAGGAAATTAACTAGGGTAGACATTACATGTGCAACCTACCTCACCAGGCTTGCATGACAAATCAAAACTTGCACTAATGGAGACTTTGCAATTAATCATTTTTAATGTTTTTATATCTACAGTGCATAGGTGTGTTCAAGGCCACTGTATGTTAACCCTGACAGCATGTCCATGTAATTGGCTAAGGCTTTCTTAGACTCAAACTAGTAGTCTGCTGAGAACCACACATCACATAAAAATTATTATTATTATTATTCATATATTAAACAGAAAGTCACACTATGATTCATATCTCCCATAGTATTTATAGGACTGTGTTATTATATCTTTTGCTGCCTTCTACATAAATTCATGCACTTACTGCATTAGCAAATGAGGTCACTGTTTTTAGCAGTGTAACCTTTAAGGTGGCAGAGAGTCAACATAAGACAAATTCATTTCTGAAGTGCAGCTATACACAACGGCTTTAAAACAAAAATCACTTACATAGATTAAACTGTGCAAGCATACGGCAAAACATGATTTTTATTTAAAATCCTACACCCTGAATGACAAACCATGACAAAAGAAATGGGTGTGAGCATGTGTATGTGTATGTGGAGCTGTCCGGCAGAACAAATTACTAACAGGATACAAAGGAATACAAAAATACCCAGCTTAAGGTAAATCGTGGCCTAAGATTTTATTATGTTATTTGGTGAAAATACTGTATACGGTACAATCAGTACATATTACAGATTCCTTTCAATTGCATTTTATGGTGCCTGGTTTTCACCAGAAGAGGGTGTAGCTTATCTAGTTGTAGTAAGAACACTGGGCTGAAACACTACCAGTCTACTGGATGTCTCTTAAAAATATATCAGAAATGACAGGGTAAAAGTTATACAAAAACAGAACTGTTTACAAAAATGCTTGAAATGTAATGTTGTATTGAGTGATGTGCCTCCCACAACTAACAGATAATGTAATAGGTCTAGGTATTTTCACAATAGGAAAATCACAGGTTTAAGTAATTTAATGAATGAGAACTAAATTCCATTTAGCTGCATGAGTGTTAGCATCCTAGTGTTAAACATGCCGGCTCCCTGTTGATATCTACTGGGAATTTGCATAGAGCCAGTGTTGATGTTATTAGTAACACTTGTGGTTTTCCTATTTAAACATGATTCATGTACTGTATAAAGACACTGACTACTCAGAGTAAACCAGGTGATTATAAAACCTCCTGTTCAGACTGTGTGAATGTGATTGTGCTTGTTAAGGTCAGACAAATACCTTTATCATTCTTATTAATACATGGGGTCCAGTGAACTCAAATAATTCCCAATATAGTGTCACCCACCTTCAACCTGAACAGAAATCTAGTCAGACACAGTGACTGAAAACACCAGTGTGGGTGTGCAGGACATTTAATATAACAACACGGATATGTGTACACACTGAGTCACAAATGGATACTTTTTTAACTCAGTGAGGTTTAGGCCAATGGTTCCCAACCTAGAGGTTTGGCCCCCACAGTGTGCCACAAGATAAATATGAATGGTCCTGAGATGGTTAATGAGGGAGAAAAGAAGAAAAAACCACTACACAAATAGGTCAACTTTTCAACAATTAGATTTTTTTGTGATATTGGACCATTTTGCCTGTTTCAGCCTAGAGAAGTTATTAAACTAAAATCATCTTAGAAGTCAGGGGAAATGTCTCTTTGGCTGAACTGCTAACAACTCTGAAACCTACTCTAACAAGGGGCCACAACTAGCTAGCTTCTTTGGCTAACATAACTTAACTAATTCAGTAAGTGTTAGCTATATTAACAATTGATTTATTTGTAAAATAGGCTACATTCTGCTATCTCTATTGCTAACATTCACAGGGATTACTCCCCAACAAAGTTATAACCTATTTCATATATTCTTTGTGGAAACTAACCTTAGAAAATAGCCATAACTACAGTCCTGAGCTGCGGTACAGAGAAATATCCAATCAGCTGTTTGATTAGCTTGGCTGCCAGTCACACAAACATTTGTCCAGCACTGACTGTTGAATGACAGGTCATTCATGTTGCCCGGATAGATTTCATTGGTGTGCGTTTCTGTGTTTTCTGCCTTATTTACAATGTTACAATGATGACTTATCATCTTAAACCTGACTGAAAGCTCAAAAAAATGAGGTGTACCTATGTTATCATACCTCTATGCAGAAGTAACTCGGTTTATACAAGTCTTGCGAACTCTTGCTAGCGAGATGTTTTTTCAAACTATGTAAAGACTTATGGAGTAGTTCACAGATTTCCTTAAATCATCATAATCTCCAGGCTGTGCAGGTTTATGCGAGCTTGCCTGACATCTACCGGTGCCATTGTAAAAGCAGGATTTTTCAACTGCATGTAGTTTTGTGGATATATTTTACCTCCTGCTGCTGCACTATGACCAGAGGATGTGAGAAAAAAGCAGTAGCGCTTTGTGTGTGCTATGTTTTGCACAGAGAAAAAAAAAAGAGAAGAAAAAAATTGTGCATGAAGTCTTGGCTGAGTAGATGATATCAACCCAGCTTACACATTTTGCAGCACAAGTTGGAGGTGAGTTGCAAATAAAGAAATAAGGAGGCTTGTGCAAACAAATGCTACAGGTGGTTGTGACACTTCCCAGCCAGCTTGCTGTCAATGGCTGTTGCGGATGTCTGGTCAAGATTCAGTCTCTGTTGCCATAATACAGGATTTCAAGTTGTAAATATCAAACATGCTTGATACTTGTGATTCAAGATCAGGGGCCCTCCGATCCTGTCAAAGGCATAACAATTAGGTCTTTCAACACCTCACATTTCAGGATCATTTGGCCTGAGATTGCGTTATATAGGGGAACGCCCCTTTGATTTTCAGGAAGGGCAAATCAGGCCCTAAATCAGGCTAATTATCCTGTAGTGTAGGGCTGCTTAAGCCTTTCTGTGGTTGGGAAATCCTTTTATTTATAAGATTATCATACGGGTTTTTAATGTAAAATATTAGTCTGAAAAATAACTAGTATCTATATATAGCTTCCAGATAAATACAGTACAGCTGAGTACAAAGTATAATATTTCTTTCTAAAATGAACTAAAAAAAAACAGTGTCTGTACCTAAATACAGCAGTTTAGTAAATGTACTGACTAAAATAATACATTTTAAATTCATAATTTGTTTTATACGGTTAAATTTGTCCCTTGTTGTACTGAATGTTTCACGACCTTGGCTCAGGACAACGATACTTTTAGAGTGTGAAAAAAGTCAGGATATCAACAGAAAAATTAACCTCTGATAAATTTCACAGCAATGTGATATGGTGTGATATATTTGGGATGAGGCGCAGGGGAGAGAGACACTGCTGGACGCTGAGGATGGTAGAGAGTGGATCTTTTATCACCACCACACATGGGTTTATCCATGCAGTTCTGCAGCCTGGTAACAGTACGTGCATGTGAGTGGATGGTCACACGTACAGGCAAAGCGAGGGAGCTGTAAATAGCAAGACAGAAAGACTAGGCCTGAAGGTCGTAATGCAGTCATGAATAAGAGATGTTTGAAGGCAACTTTGTTGATGTGTGCACATACACACACATGCATATGCCACACACACGCATGCACACACACACACACATGCAACAGCGTTCCATTAGACAAAGCCCAGGCCATTAGTAGTTTTATCTTCTTTGTGTGGGACAACACTGACAAGACTCCCCTCTCCATCCCCCCAGCACACCCTCAGACACACAGATGCACACAAAACATCAGTTTCAACGCACATACGTGCACTGACACCCCCATCTGTCTCACCGATGCAGATGTTTTGGACAGGTTGCTACACTGTTTTAATGGCAATCACAACAACACAGCAGGCTCTCTAGTCCACAGAGAGTGATTGAGCTTCAGTTTCAAAAGGTTGCCTCTCCTTGCAAACAGCTGACAGCATGTACAAAATATCTTCGCCAGTCCCTCTGAATGGGCAGTTACAAAATGTTTGATTGTGCCACACTAGTTCAGTCTTCATTCACAAAACACTTGTCTCCTTCTGTGCAGATAGCCTGTGCCTGTAAAAGCTGACACTGTGCACAAAGCTCTGTCTTCCTCCCTCTCATGCATATGCATAATTTGAATGTGACATTAAAAGGTTTTACTGAGTCATAGTAATTGGGTTTGTATCTACTAAA